CATACAAACAGAGAGTCATGCAATAAATAAATACAGTTTATTAATCAGCACCAAACTCTCATAAATATATAGCACGACTGGATTATAAGCAGCAGGTCATTCTTAGATGGCTTGAGATGTGATCTTATTGAATGCTTGAGGTAAAAATAGCGTTACGTTTCGTGTGACCTCATGAGACACTGATCTATTTTGCATGCCAGACTACAGTACAAGATCCCACATCAACAGAGAGATTCAACACAAGTTAGGAAACAGATGTGATATAACTTATCCTAGTTTTTGAACACAAGGAAGATTCTCTCAGGAGAGTACACTGAAGTCACAATGGCAATAGATCAGCAGTGTCTTCAGAATGAGTGGAGAAGTTCGTGGAGATCAAGACAGGATGAAAATTCGAGCAGCGACACTGGATGGATGGATGGATGGATGTGAGTGAAGAAGAGGATGGTGAAGAGAATCCAGGGGAGGAAGATGAGCGGACAGAAGAAGAGGATCCAAAGGAGCAGCAAGTAAATGCATTGGAAAATGAGAAGACTGTTGATGACGATGAAGGATGTAGTGTTAGTTTTCCTTTTACGCCTGCAAACAGTGAGAGTGTTTTTGCTATGTGTGATGATAAAGCCAGTGATGAAGAAGATGTCAATAAATATGACAACAACAATAACACTGATGCAGTATGCAGTAATAGTTTTCCTGTTACTAATAGTGATAACTTAGTGGATGTGTTTACAAATGATGCTAGTGATGATGCTGATAAACATGATAAAGAATCTAGTGTTAGTTTTCCTGCTGCGTCTGCAAACAGTGATGGTTTAATCGCTGCATGCACAAATAATGAAAAGGCTGGTCATGAAGATGATGCTGATAAATATGATGGCGAAAATACTGATGAAGCATATAGTAAAAGTCAACCTGTTGCATCTGCAAACAGTGACAGGTTAGTCGTTTCAACTATAAGTAATGATAAAACCAGTGAGGAAGGGGATGCCATTGAACATGACAACAATGAATTTAGTATTAGTTTTACTGTTATGCCTGCAAACGGTGATGGTTTAATTGCTGCATGCACGAATAGTGATAAAGAGGATGTGGATAAAAAAGATGACAAAAATAACAATGAAGATCATAGTAATACTTCACCTATATGTCCATAAACAGTGAAGGTTCAGTTGCTTCACTTACAAATAATGATGAAGTCAATGATGACAAGAGTGGATATAATATACATGTTGACATTAACGGCAATGAAGAATACTTTAGGAGTTTTCCTGTTTCTTCTGCAAATGGTGACAGTTTTGTTGCCATGTGTGCACAAAATGATAAAAACACTGATAACGATTATGATAAATACGACAAAGATAATGAAAATGACTGTTTTGCTACTGCCTCCATCAGTACTGATGACATTGGTGGTTCTGAAAAAGACTTAACATTTGGAGGTCTAACATTTAGAGGTGAAGAGCAGCACATGACGGACTCCAGCTCTGCCTTCTCACTGTGCCTTAACTTCCTGCAACAAGAAATAGATGCTTACAGCTGCCTAGATGTAGTATCTTTCGCAGAGGCCTATGGGATGGCGGATTTACTTGCACTGGCCGATGACTTTGTCTTGAGGTACTTTCAAGATGTGTCCATCACTCCAAAGTTCCAAGATCTTCCTGTAGAGAAACTGAAGAAGTACCTTCAGAGTGATTCTCTCTGTGTTCCCTCGGAGCTGCCCGTGTTCAAAGCAGTCATGTGCTGGATCGAAGCCTTTCCCAGAAAGCGGGTCAAACTTGCCAGGGAGCTGATGGGAACCATATAGTTTCCCCTCATGACCTTTAAGGAGTTCAAAGAAGTCAAGTCCATAACGTCTTTGCCGAGAATTGGCGCCAAAAGACTATCCGATTCTCTCCTTGAGGAGTTCTGTTCCAGTTCTTCTTCTTCTTCTTGTGTGATTTGCGGCAGCTTAGACGCTTCAAATGTTCCAGTTCTTCAGATGTTCAGTCAAATTTCAGGGCCTATATGCCTAAAGACACTCTAGTCCTGGTTGGGGGTGAGAGGATCACTGATAATTTTGACAAACGTAGACCGTGTAGGGAAATGTGGTTTAGCAATTACTTGCAGAACCACGTTGGATTGGTGAAGAAAGTAGAGTGGAGAATGCTGGGAACTTTACCTGAGAAACCAAGATTCAGTCATGGAGTTGGGGTAATGAGGGGCAAGCTTTACGTAGTTGGCGGACGGCATTATTACGGCAAAGCTGATACCATGAATTGCACCTACAGGTAAGATGTAGCACGAGGACTCATCTATCTGACCTTGTCCAGGTTTGTGCTCTCACACTGTTGACCTCCTGTTCAATCTTTCAACTAGGTACGATCCCATCCAAAACTTTTGGCAAAGGTTGGCCGATATGCATGAGACAAGAGGCAGCTTCACTCTAGTGGTCCTGAATGGCAAAATATATGCAATTGGTGGAGAGAGGGACTCAGAGGTCAATACGGAGAGTGTGGAGGTTTACTGCCCCAACACAAATTATTGGAGGTTAGTACAGTAAATGAGTAGCACAAGAATAATCTAAAAGGCATGCATGATTCTAGATCAACATCAGCTGTTCTTCCTGGAACAATGTTCTGAAACGTAATCACAGGCCTGAAACATGTCTGAATGTTGTGTAAGAGCCAAACCCTAAATCAAACTCTTACCCTAAACTTTACTTTGTTTATGGACCTTTGTCAGATTAGGCACCATATTTTTCTTCAAATGAAAGCCATGTTGTATGGGATAGACGTAAAGTCCATTCAGTGGGTTGTATGCTTTGTCTAATTTTCATGGCACATTTTCAAGAGTTTTGTGTCACCAGGAATTGTTCTGATAAGATATGTTATATTGTGTCAGCTCAACAAATGACAGCAAAGTAATAACATTACGACCCATTGGACAGACTGTATGACTATCCTTCATAACATGAAGTTGTCATAGGCATCTACCCTAAGCAAGGTCCAGAGGAATGTTGCTCCAGAACAACTAATGTTGATTCCGAATTGATGTCCTACTTGGCAAAGTCATTTAACTTCACAGAACATATAGCAAATAAGTGTTGTCAAAAGTACTGACTTAGGTACCAGTCGGTACTGACATTAAAAAAATGTGATGATACTAGCATTTCCCGTGAGCATTTTGAACGCTGTTGAGTGGATTCTTAAACACCTCTGATTGGCCATTGTGTTCACGTGCCATTGTGCTTTCAACACCCTGTTGAAAAAAAACAGTATGCTGGTTAGGCATGGTTTGAGGCATGGCTGCTGGCTTTAGCTGGGTTAAGCTGGTCCTTAGCTGGTCATGAGCAACTAGCTCCTGCTCAGGACCAGCATAAACCAGCACAAACCAGCAGCCATGCCTCAAAACATACCTGACCAGCATATGCTGTTTTTTCAACAGGGCAGATATGTCTGTGATTGGCTACAATGATCATCGCTTCACACTCTTCACGGAGCACTTACACAGATACACATGGGAGCGTTTGAAAGCCACGTCTATCAGTGGATTCGTCAACGAATCCCTAATATATCTGCTCATGGATGGATCCTCTGAGCAACAGTGCTCAAAACGCTCACGGGAAATGCTGGTATCATCACATTTTTTTTTAAAATTTCTGTTCCAACTGGTACAGAAGTCGGTACTTTTGACAACACTATTGCAAATGCATTATGCAAGTCAAACTGTTCCTAACACCTACTGAGAACCATTCAAAGTGAATGATGTTGTCCTTCGTTTAATGGCTGTCTTTTTAATTCTTTCCTACTTCAGTTTTGTCCACCCATTAGGCCACACTCTATGCTGTCAGGCGGCCAGTGTGTGGAACGGCACAATCTTCCTGTCGGGTGGCTTTAACAGTCAGTACCAATGCCTGTCGTCTATGACCCTTTACCACCCAGAACGAGGATCCATTTACCTGGCTGAAATGACACATGATAGAGCCCTGCACTGCATGGAGACCCTAGGTGACCGTTTATATGTGGCTGGAGGGGTTTCATGCGAAGCTGATGGCCATCTGGTAGATCAATTAGCCTGTGAGGTCTATGACCCTGTGGCCAACTCCTGGAGTGCCATTCTGCCATTCCCAGTGCCTCATGTTGGGTCAGCATCAGCGGTCTTAGAAGGTCTATGTAATCGGAGGCTACTGCCAGGAGGACTACAGTGATACCAAAACAGTGCACCACTATGATCCTGCAACAGAACGCTGGGAGAACATGAGCATGACACCAGGCCCGAACACATACATAGCTGCCTGTGTGCTGCCCATACCAGCTCATCTTAGACAATAAGAGGGGAATATCTTGAATAAAATGCATTGTTGCATTGTGCATTATCTCCACCTCATGGCAAGATTAAAAAGAAGAAAAAAAATGTTCAGCTTGGGGCAAAACATGCTGTCAGAAATGATTTGAACAGGTGTTTCACAATATATAGATTATATACTATAAAAGACACTGTAATATCAATGAGCAAGAGAATGTACAGTCCATTGAAAGTCTGTAAAGATTACTGACATTATGACATTGTCCCAATGCCACATATAACCAATCTTATCTGAATAGGGCTTTAAAAAAACAAACAAAAAAAAAACATCAACAACACATTGAAATGTCACAGTTATGAACACGCAACGATACATTCCTGGAAACAAATGATCAATTAATTGGCATCAAATATATCTCATTTTCAATTTTGTTGATCACTTTATTGGTTAAATGAATATTAAATTCTCTGAAGCTTTATGCCAAATTTATATGTATATTTGTGTTTGAGATTGCTTCTAGAATGAAGTAAAACAAAGGGAAATTGTTTATTTCTACTGTGTTCGTTTATTTTTTATACTGCGTTATTGTCAACATGGTTTTCATTTTTACAAATTGAAGCTCAAACTTACTTTCTCTGTGTCACAAATACTCTCAACCAAGCTTAGTTTTTATTTAACCCAGAATATTTTTTGACTAGTGTTCTGTGTGTGTCGATTTACATAACTGTTCTTTGACGACAAATTTTTTTAGGTTACCATCATTAAGTTGCCATCTAGGAACATACTCAAGTAAAAAAAAAAGAAGACGTTTAGTTTGTAGCTTTATATAATAAAACAATAGAAGTCTATGATAAGCCCTGATTTGGATAGCCAAGTACTGTGCCTGAATGAAAATTAATGTTCCATAGAAGTGTAAAGGAGGACTCTTGTATGTATATCTGAAATAGTGACCTTTTAATTACATTTATGTATGATTAACACAACAAAGAAACATAAGATATGTTTTCAGGACCAGGTCCTTTTTGACATTTTACGAAATAATTCACACATACAAATTATACAGAAGTAGAATCCAGTGGGTAAAGCAGGTAGCCTGTGAAAGTGGAATAGTTGTACCGTGGATCCACAAAGATCCAGGTTCGGATCCACAGCCTCATGTGAACCTCCTCACCAACATCCAGCTCCATCACTGCTCCATTGGACATTTGGTCATTGCGCTCACCAGAATTATATTCATATGAAGACACAAATCGTGCCGTGCCTTTAAAGATGCTCAGACCCATATCATGGGAGGAGAACGCGGAGCCTGAGTACCTGAAGTAATACACACCTTTAACAGGTGCTGTGAACACTCCTGCAAAAGATACGTACGCAAAGATCTCAATGCTACAAATTAAACCATATTAAAAATTCAATGATCAAATTATAAATTTTTCAAATCACAAAAACTTAAAATGCAGAAACCTGTGACAGGGTCATATGCATTGCCAATGTTGGTTAGGACTTTATCAAAGATGAGCTTGGTCTCCGTACTAAAAGGCCCTCGGTGTGTATCCTCTGTATTTGACATGGATGCAGTGAATGCCACTTTAGGGCTCTCTGTGAATAGAGAAAAATGGTTAGTTTACTTTAAGCAGTAAATACATCTAGAAAATGCAATGCAACATTCTAAAGTGGTTGCAAAACAGTGCTATGTAGATTCTGTGGTTACGAACTCAATTTCAAAGTTCAAACATGCATATACATGTCAAACAAACCAGAGAATATACCTTTAATCTGTTTCTGCAGCTCCTGAATCAAGCTTTTCTGCTCTGCGAGTTCCTTTTTAGCAGTGTACAGATCCAATGTCAGTCCAATAATTGAAGCTTTAAGCTCCTTCAACTCAGAGTAGATATTCACCACAGGAGTCATAATATCCTCATCATGTGCCATGCAGGAACTTAATATTGAGATTAAGAAAAGCTGAAATAAAGCCATGACTGTTTCTCTTGTGCTAAAGAGAGGAGCGAAGGTCTACAGTCGCCGTGCTTGTTATCTTTATAGAGATAGTCTTGGTTAATGATTAAGAATTTGGAGTTTTTAGATCGATCAGATTTACCGCTTATATCTGAGGAAAAAACACACAAACGCAAGTACCCACATTTGAATAACTGATAAGAAAGGTTTCTAGAATTGCACAAGTGAATGTCCATGATTCAGCTGTAGGCTACAAACTACTCAACTCATACAAGTCCTAGGTTTAAATCAGACTCATTTTTCACGTGATATTGGTGTAAAAGATGTAAATGTGATACAGCAGTTATCCTGTGATAAAAGTTGGGATGTTTCAATTAAATATGTATTTACAAGTCCTTTCTTAATGTCAAATGTCATCTCTTTGGATTCCCATAATTCACATAGACAGAGACATAGTTGAACAACTGGATATACATGACATGGTAAAAAATTCAGAGATAACTACAGTAGCTTCCATTCAAGTCAGTTGCAGTTCATAGACTCACTTTAATATTCTTTTTTATATAAAGATTAAAACATACTTTGCTCTGAGCTCACAGTGTAAGCTACAAATGTGTCATTTTGAACCTGTAATGCACGAACAAATTCAAAACATTTCATACTAAAATACAAGTGGCATTGTACATTTTTACTTTTAAAACAAAATTATATTAAAAGACACATAGTTTGGCACTTGTGGATACTTCTGAAAACAAATACATAGACAACACATACAGCAACACAGGATATCCATGCTATGGATCTATAATCAGACATAACCCTGAACAGAAGTAAACAAAGTTAAAATACTGGTGCACAGGGCTATCAACTAAAAGTGGGCACCCTTATTTTGTAAGAAAATGCTGTACGCCTATTAAAAACAGTAACAGCTTTCAATCCTGGGGACCTTGAGAGCAGCATTTTTACATTGTTAGTTCTGTTGGGTTACAAATCACCACAAAAGAGTGTTTGCTTGACAGACGTAACTGTCGCGTGTTGTGTCGATACTTCGGTAACAGTAATGATAGATGCTAATACAATGCTACGATGGTGATTACAAATGTATGTTCACTAGCATCAAAGTATTCAAAATACATATGGTAATGTCACGTTACTTTGTGATACGTTTACTTTTTTCATGTAGTGTTTTCATACTGGAAAATCTCTTACCTTCAGTCGTGATTACAAGCGTCAGATGTTGATCAACAGTAAAGACGTTCTTCATTGCTGACGACATTTGGAGGCGCGGATTGAAACAACGGATTAAAAATGTTCACTTTATCTAGTTTTTGTTATCTGTGTTTGGTATCTTATAACCACTCCAAACGATACGGTGTGTGAGCCGTTCAAATGATTCAGACGGAATCGTGAGCCAATTCAAACCTGACTAATTCAATAAAGGGGTCATATGATGTTGCTAAAAAGAACATTATTTTGTGTATTTGGTGTAATGACAGTTATGCAAATCTTCCCACATTGTGATGTAGACATGTGGGGGCGTGTTAGAACGAGGCGTTTTAGGAGGGCGTGGACCAGTCTTAACTTTTATAAAGAATATCTCTTTGGATTTGAGACTTTAGTCTTTGCAACTTTACAGATCTTCTTTATGCACCAAGAGCTTGTAACACTCCAAAGAGAAAGGAAAAATTGAAATCGCATCATATGACCCCGTTGATGCGAGCTGAGTGATTCATTAGCGAAACGGCTGTAGCTAGTTCATAATCATGGAAACACATGATGAAATATTGCGAAAGAAATTTGCGAGAGCCGGGAAATCCCCCGTGTCAGACAAGGATGTATCTGTGAATATAATAATACTGGTTCAGGACCGCAGGTTGTGCAGTTTGTTAGACACATCCAAGATGGCGCTGTTATAGTCTTGACAGGGCACCAACATTATTTGATTCTTAAAAAAATAAATACATAAAATACATAAAGGAATATATGCTTGTAGACGAAGTGTAAATATATTGTCAACCATTAAATATACTCTAAAATAGCCCAGTATTTTTACAGTTGAATACATTTTTATATTTGAATTTTTATATTTGAAAACAAACACAAGACAGCTGACAAAATAAATGTCAACTATAAATATAAATATACCAATATGTAGCAATGGAATAGTTCTAATTAAAATGGAACATCAAGGAGTGTTATTTATGACACTCAGACTTGCTGCTTTTGCAGAATTCCTTATGAGTTTACAGATGGTCTCTTAAAAGGCAGCTCCCTATGTAGACAGCAAGGCATCTCACTAGATGTTTTAAGTTGTACAAATAAAACTGGCAAACATGTGCTCATCTTGTTCTCATTTTCTGATGTGTTCAGGCAGATGAAGGAGGCATGCACGTATATCTGTGACGGGACCGGGCATCTTTCCCATGCTCTCCCATCTCTGAGTCACAGGGTCATAGCGATGAGTGAGTCTGGCCTCGCTGTAGTCCTCCTGGCAATAACCGCCTAGAATGTACAGCCTCTCCTCCAGGACAGCAGAGGCCGCACCGACGTGGGGAACGGGGAGAGGAGTGAACACCGTCCAGGTGTCGCGGACAGGGTTGTACATCTCGCAGATCAGTTGGTCGGTGTAGTACTTTCGGAGGTTGCACACTCCGCCAGCTACGTAGAAGCGGTTTTTCAAGCTCTCCATGCAGTGCTGTGCCCGATCGTGGGTCATCTCAGCAAGGTACGTGGTTCCTCTCTCTGGGTGGTAGAGGAACATGGACACTAGGCATTCGTACTTGCAGTTGAAGCCTCCTGAGATGAAGATCTCGCCTCCCCAGACGGCGGCAGCTTGACCACTCAAGGCTTGGTCCAAAGGATGGCAGAAGCTGATCCACAGGACAGAAAAGTCCATATTTAATAGCTCTGCTTGTGTCTATGTTTTATTTCTCCCCAACAATTTTAGGAGAAACTAATGAGACGGAGGTGGAAGAGCAACATTTTTTATCTCCAAACAGACAAATCAGATGATTCTCTAAAGAGCATCATTTATTGAAAGGTATGTTGTTGTGCTTCTAAGAGCCACTAGGTGTCAGTCAGTTCATTCATTCTTTGCATTGCTTTTACATTTTCCCAATAAACAGGCAGGCAGGTAATTATTATAATTATTATTTTTTTTACTTTCTCCTCTTACCTCCAGGAATCTGTTTCTGGTGAGTATTTTTCCACACTGTCAAGATTTGTGTTGATGTCTTTGTCTCCTCCGACAGCATACAGGCCGTCTCCACTCACCACCAGCGTAAAGTTACTCCTCAGTTCATGAAGATCTGCCAGCCTTTTCCAGTGGTCTCGCTCAGGGTCGTACCTGTTGATATAGATGTGCGGGTGTTGTTAGAGAAAAAGAACAGTGAAAACAGGTGAAAGAAAAATGTTACAAATACAGGTTGACACAGAAAATGTATTTTAGTGCTGTCAATCAAAAAAATTAACTAATCGCACTTTTTTCTGAAATTAATCGTGATTAAATCCCACCTAACATTACGTTTTTAAATATACTTTTATATTGCAATAATTTCACATTCAATCTTCAAATTAATGTAGAAACAATATAAAGAGTATATTTTCAATATCTGATTGATGACAGTTTTTTATGACTGAAGGCAAGTATGACTGATACCAGAGCTACTGATGTCTCTATGAAATTGTTCTTTTTTTTCTTTCTAATATTTAACCATTGACTATATGTAATGTTGACTATACAGTATAATTGAGAGATATACATTTTAACATGTATTGAATAAAATTGAATAAAGTTATCAAACACTAAATTCTAAATTAAGTATAGATGAATCTTCAAAGCAACAAAAGTAATTTTGACAGCACTAATGAAATTGTGTTTTTAGCTAAATGAATGGAACTTGACTTAAAGACCCCATTAAGCCATTTATTTGACTTAAATTGTTTTATTTAGTTAATGTTTATTTTATTTTATCATAATAATGATTAAATCAATAACTGAAAATGTTTTTTTTAAACCATATATATTTATATATATATAACTTATAAAAATGTCACCCCCAACAC